GCGATTAATGACTTGCCTGCACCTGAGGTTCACACAGAGCTCATGAGAGAGCAGATCAGCAAAGGCTGTTTAATATGGGTTTTAACTCCTCGAACAAGTTCTTCCCATACCCAAACCATTGGTCCAATCAAGAAAATAAAGTGATGGTGAGAGACAGCCACGTCTCGTGAACGCACGTGTCGTGTTTTATATTTCTAGAGTCAAAAATGTGGTCACCGGAGTGAGTTTAAAATGTGTTGCACCCCAGCTGTTTCCAGAAATTTCTCCTCTGAGTTTACATGGGAGTGAATGAGAAAAAAATCGGCGCTCCCTTCGCTTTGGAGCCACTCAGCAAAAATGTGTACGTGTGAGAGATTCCATGTCAACATATCTGTGAGCAGGACAAATTTTCCTACGTTTTGTGGTATAAATTGTGTCTGTACAGTGAAAATTGTGGCCATGGCAGCGAGTTAAAGACAAAAGTTTTAGACGATTTTTAGAGCCTCTCGACTCTAGCTCACAGCATTCCGTGCAATACACACCCATTATAAACTGACAATTTCTCCACTTTTGCTCATGGTACTTTGAGAGGCACAGATTAAAAACGGTAAAAGATATGAAAAAGATGAAAACATGAGTGAATAGATGAGACCTGTGGCAACATTTGAGAGTTGGAATGGAGTCTGTAGCACAAAGTATGGAGACGCTGTAAAGGCTAGAAAAAGCCCAAAGATTGGTCTCTTTCTCCCCCCTGCTGCCATTCATTTCCTATGGAACAGCTTTTGAAGATCGTCAGGACATTTTTCTGACATCTCACCTTTAGGAGGCCATAAAATCCAAACTAATCGAGTAATGAAAAAGTTATAAATAAGATTTGATTAGAAGGATTTGATCTGTCATCTGTGCAAGTTTGAAGCCGATAGGATAAATGGTGTATGACAAGAAGATTTTTTAGGAAAGGCAGTTTTAAGGCAAAATCTTACTTTGAAAGGGCAAATAGCTCACTTCCTGTTGGATTTAGGTCAGGGGTGTCAGCGCATGATTTTTAGACGAACACGGCAGTTTTGGTTTCATGTTTCTACAACGTTCCTACAGGCCGTAGCGGCCATTTTTGTGTGCCTAGGTGGTGCTAGAGATCCCATTTTGGCACTTTAGGGGTTAATTTCATGATTTTCTAAAATTTTTCACCGGTTCTGATGTGCGTGCCAATTTTGGTGAGTTTTTGAGCATGTTTAGGGGGTCAAATTCCCGTTCAAAGAGGCGGCGGGAGAAAGAAAGAAAGAAAGAAAGAATAAACGCACCAAAAACAGGCGAGGACTGCTCTGTGAGCAGTCCTCTGCCTCTAGGCTCGGTCCCTAATAATAATAATAATAATAATAATACATTTTATCTATAGAGCGCTTTTCAAGGTACTCAAAGACACTTTGTATGTGTTTAAAACGACCATAAAATAGAATACAATAAGATTCACACAGTATCATTCACACATTAAAAGCTGTTTTTAAAAGATGTGTTTTGATGAGTGATTTGAACTGGGAGAGGTCAGTGCAGCCTCAAATGTGTTTGGGAAGAGAGCTCCGGAGGGAGGGGGCGGCCATGGAGAAGGCACTGTCACCCCAGGTCCAGTGCTTGGTCCTGAGTGGTGTAGGTTGGCATCAGAGGACTGGAGGCTGCGGGAGTGTGGCAGTGGAGTAGGTCAGTGAGGTAGGAGGGAGCCTGGTCATGGAGGGCTTTATGAGGGATGAGAAGAACTTTGAATTGGATGCTTTGTGGGACAGGGAGCCAGTGGAGGTTCTGAAGGACAGGGGTGATGTGATCACGGGAGCAGGAATGGTTGAGCAGACGGGCAGCAGAATTCTGGATGCATTGGAGTTTCAATTCTGGATGTGATGAAGGTATGGATCAGAGTTTCAGCAGCAGAGGGGGACAGTGATGTGTGGAGATGAGCTTGGCAGTACTGGTGATTTGACTGACATGTTTTTCGAAGGAGAGGTTGTTGTCAAAAATAACTCTGAGGTTGCGGATGTGTGGTGAGGAATGCAGAGTGAAATTAAAAATGGTGAGGCAGAAGTTGTAAGTGGTTTTGGTGAGGGATTTGGGACGGGATGATGGTCATGTCAGGTTTTTTCACAGTTCAGTTTGAGGAAGCTGACTTGCATCCAGGACTTGATGATGTTGAGGCAGGTGGTCAGAGTGGAGTGAGCTTCAGTGTTGATGGATGTAGTGGAAATGTAGAGCTGGATGTCATCGGCATAGTGTGTTTGCCATATAGTGAGTATTAATTTAGAAGCACTATTGTGTATATTTTTCTGTTTTCTTTTGTGGCTGGTGGGGAGGACAAGAGATGCACAGTGTTGGAAAGTAACTAACTACATTTATTCAAACACACTTAAGTCCAGTTTTGAGGTACTTGCATTTTACTTGAGTATTTCCAGTTTCTGTCACATTATTAGAGAAGTATAAAGACATCTCAGAGGTAAAAAATGTACTTTTTAATCCACCACATATATCTGACATTAGTTACTATGCAGATTTAGATTAATAATACAAAATATAACTAACAAATAGATTATGAAGTATTTTTGTAACTTAATACTTACTGATAATTGCAGTAAATTTAAAAACGACCCAGCATTATATTACATAGTTGAAATGAGCTCCACCTTTACCACCTTTACTTAAAGAATATTTTGAAGCCAATACTAATACTGTCCTTTTACTTCATTTTGAATAGAGGCCTTTTACTTCTTACAGAGTATTTGTACACTTTTTTATTGCTACTTTTGTTTAATTGAAAGATCTGAGTACGTCTTCCAATTCTGTAGACAACACAGACTGGCTGGTATCAGATTTTACACCAAAGCACCACATTAGCAAAAAGAAATGAAGAAAGACTCTGGACTCAGAGGTTGAAGTTGTGAAGGCTCATTTAGCATGAAGCAGTGTTCCTTCTGACAGACAGAATTAACAGAGGCCAGTGTGTTGTCTGCACGCTGGTCTCTCTCTGTGTCTTTAAGCAGTTAAACTGAACTCCTGATTGTACGGTTTCAGCGTGCACTCCTACATTACTGTAACCCTCAGCTCAGTTTCTCTGCTTTTGAAGTGTTTTCAGAGTCTCTGGATGTTAAATTACATGATGAATTCAGTGAGTACAGGGCAGCCTGGGCTGGGTGCACTGTGGTCAGAGCCTGTGGAGCTATTAATAACCATCACTGGTGTGGCTCCAACTTTTGACGGTATAGATTACCAAAATAAACCTACTTTGACTTCACTCATCAGTGACGAGGAGCAGAGGAACCTCCTTCCAGGTTTTTATGTTCTTCTCTTTGGTTTATATATTTTCACTGATTTCTATTTTTGTTGAAATATAAAATGTACTGTTTACAGTTTTTTTCATAGAACATTCAAAGGTGATTTTACTAAGTAGAACGGGCCCCCCATCTTATGCCTATACCATACATTAAAACTACTCATAAATCATTCTAAAAAAAATTCTCCTTTCTAAAAAAAAAAAGGGACAATATAACATACTAACTCTACTGTTGGGCGTACTGTATTAACTTTCTGCCATGAGTAAAATTTTTAACTTATTTAACACTCACTTTATATTTTTGTGAATCCAGTTTCTAGTTTCTGCACTAAGTCCTTTTTGGATTTACATTCATAGTATCCAAAAGAGGCATTATCCAAAATACAAAGTGGCTTTCCAAAAACAGGAAACATAGGCAGAACAACACTAAGAGGACTAAAACCTGGTGAGGCAGCTTTTAGCTGTCGTGCTCCAAATGGTTGGAACAGTCTGCCTGTGAATCTCCAAACACAAACTTAAAACCTATCTAAACAGGCTATTGATTGGCAGTGGTTTATAGGCATTATGTACTTATCACTTACAGACTTTGTTTTGTCTGTCTAAACTTTTTTATCTAGTTTTTAGTCTAACACGTATTAAACATTTAGAAGAAGAGTATACTTTTTTAATCCCCTCAGGGGAAATTCATTTTTTTCACTGTTGTTGTATACGCACAGACTTGAAATACACACACATGCACAAAAATGACCTATCTATTAAACGGAGAGATCAGTCCACACTTAGGTTTCAGACGGGGACTTTAACCAGTGACCCTCCAGTTCCCAAACCAAGTCTCTATGAGCTACTGCCCATGTATATATTATCCCTCTCATCAACTTTTTGTTTGTATTGTCATCATATTCATTTTTGCCTTTGTCTTTTTATTCTATTTTATCTAGTTCTTACACCTAGTTTTTCTTTCACTCTTTACTTCTATTACTGTTTTTATAGCTTTTAAATCAATTTTATTCTATTTTATTGTCTTGTGTGTGCTGATTTCTAATTGTTGAATTGTTTTTGTAATTTTTTTTGTGTTTACGTTCTATACTTGTTATGTCTTTTTGTTAGTCATGAAGCACTTTAAACTGAACAAACCTTTATGAAATGTGCTATACAATTATAGTAGTTATAGCTGGATTGACTGATTGAAAAGAAGTGCAACAGCATAACTGCCACTTGTCCTCCATGTGCTTTCGCCTCCTTTTACTTACACATTTTCAAAAGATATGCAGATGCTGGAAGTGGATATTATAAAATGAGTGTTTTAATAGTAGAAAATCTTTCCTTTTCAGCCTCCTGATTCAACTTTAAATGATCAAGTTAGAAATTATTTCACAACTTTTTAAGATCTGAAACTCTGAACTCTGCTACCTCTGTCTCTTCTCCCCCCACTTTCATCGTCCACTCACTTTAACTTTTCACTATTCCTGTCCACTCCCTTTCTTCAATGTCTACTTGTTACGACCCCTAGATTGGCACCACTCCCTTCCTCTTTACCTCTCCAGTCTTCTAGAAACTGATCTTAACAGTAGGTGAGGACACCTCTACTCCCTCCCTCCCTCCTTGTCTCCCTCCCTCCCTCATTCAGAGAGTCCCTCCCTCCTTCACTCTGCCTTCAGAGCTTCTTTTCTCACTGTCTGTACTTCCATCATTTCCCTCTGTGTCTCTGTGGTTGTAGGAAGGATGCTGCCCTGCAGGCTCCTGGGTCTGCTGGCTCTCCTTGTGCTCTGCAAAGGTAAGAAAAGCAACTATTTTTTTTACTCATCAAGGAAAATGTGAATTTATGCTCAAATGTGCTCACTTCTTATCTTGGCGGAGGGATTAATCCTGCAAGGAACTAACAAAAAATAACTGTGAATATCCACAAAATGAGAAGTAAAGTGTGTGTGAGAGTGCAGACAGAAACAGCTTAGTGAAGTGTAGGAAGGAACAGATTATTTAAAAGCACCCCCCTCCATCTGCTCCACTTTGAAGCGTATATTAAAGCCTGCTGTTTCTGTCTGGTGGTATGAAAGTAAATATACACCATCTCTCTCTCTCTCTCTCTCTCACACACACACACACACACACACACACACCCACACCCACACACATGCCAGTCATAAGTTATTCATAGTTGACTAATGTATGTGTTTGGGGCTGGATTGGGGCTGTTTCCACCCTCTTGTGCACAGGGTGGGGCGGGTGGTGAGGGGATGAGGTGTTTTTTTATAGCAGCCTGATCCTATTGAGGGCAGTGTTGCACTTGTGTGTGCTAATTGCAGAGCGGGAATCGCCACCCGCCATGGGGGAACTACCGGTAGACATGATGCTAAATGCTAGAAAAACCAGCCTTGTTTGCAACAACACAGTGATGTTAGCAGAAGAGGGAGGGGCTTGAGATGAGAGGCAATTAGCTTAGATTCGCATTACGACTTGAATCAGGGGGAAACAGCTAGCCTGGCTGTGTACGAAGGTAAAAAATAAAATCAGCACCTTTAAAACTCACTAATTAAATGTTGAGTTTGGTCATTTTCCAGCTTGATGCTTTTTTTCCCATGTTTAATGTATGATGTGTCTAAGTGGCTAATGGGAACAGCTATGTTTAAAAGTGGTCCAGTACCGAGCGAGACCAAAACAGGCAGTAATGTAATCACTTGAGGCATGTTTGCACTGTCAGTTCACATCCACTTTAAGTCTTTGTTTTCATCACTAACAGGCTCAGATTGTGTCTGACAACATTATGGAAAGGATCACTACAGAGCTCTTTTTGTCAAAGAGTAAGATCCTTAAGTTTAGCCAAAAAAAACAACACCAAAATCGCCATCACCAAACTCACCAGACTCCTTTTTTAAAAAAAAAAAACAGTAAGGCCCTGTTTAGACAACAACAGTTTCTCTAAAAACGGAAAAGTCTGTCCTTTGCATTTAAAAAAGTTCTGCGTTTATATGACGACGTTATTGAAACGATCCCCGTTCACACGGAGCCGCAAAATCTACTGGAAATGCTGTAGTATGCACACCAGGCCAATGGGTGGCAGTGTAAATTTGCAAAGCAACGCCACGGCATGACGCCATGCGCCTGCGCTGAAGCGCCTTCCTTTACAGCGCAGTGATTACAAACCAAAACAAAGAAGACACAATGGTGAAAGCATGGATGGATAACTTTGTCTGGATGGACGACGAGGTGGAGTTGCTACAGTAACAGATCTACACTTCACTTCAAATCAACAGGGTGAGCAGCACAAACAGAGCTCCGCATTGTTGTTTTGACGGTCGACTTTCTCGCGCATGCCTAGTGACTGGAACCGTAATGCACATATGCGAAAGTCTCCGTTTTCAGAGGAACTGCATATTGCAAGTTTACATGACAACGGAGACGCTGCCGTTTCCAAAAAATTGCACTCTGGAACCTGTTTTCAAAACGTTGTGTTTTCATGCACCCGAAACGCAGCTGTCGTATAAACGATCAGCCAAAACGCAACTAAAGTTTACCGTTTTCAGTTGAAATCATTGTCGTATAAACGGGCCCTAATTATATCATTGTGAAATACACTTCATTCAAAGGCAACAGAAACTAAATAAAACTCACAAAAGCCATCTTGGTTCATCTTTCCACTGTTCCAACGATCAAAACAAAAAACAAAAACAAAACATCTTTATTTTGGATTCATGGGTTAAAATTCTGTCAGGAAACAAAGTGAAACATTTTTACTTGCCCAGAGTTACATTCTTCTCAAACTGCTACTGTGTCCAGTAGCATCTTTACATTCATACGCAGTCCCAGCACCTCTAAAATGTATTTTGGGGTCAGTGTGAACACAGACCAGCAATCCTAAACATAGTTAGAGTCAGTTACAGTAAAATTACTGTTTTTGTTCACTTGTAAGGACTCAGAGCAGGTGGGGGTTTACAGTATGTCGTGTTTGAGGAGTGGTTAAATGATTAACACGATGAGAAAGCAGCTGAAACATATTGCTGCTCCACAAAGTGGTGTTTCTTTCCTAATATTTTGATTTCTAGTGCATTAATAGATAATTTTACTAATTCAGGCCTCTAAAAGTATTTAAATAATCTAACAGACATCTGCCAGGAATGATGAAATGTCTGTCCAGGACAAAACAAATCTTTAAATCCAATATTTCCACCTGCCCAAGCTTGCCACAGGCCGAATTAACATACATCAGGTGAAGGAGAAGAGCAGAACAACATGTTCAAAGATTTTACCATCCCAGGCAGATTGTGGACATCTGTGAGATCACAAAAATACCTTTGAAGATTCTGCTTGCCGCATCGGGTCAATTATTTTTCTTTATTTAATTAAGTCCCCTTTGTTTCTTAGGTAGCTACGTGTCTGTGTTAGGATGTTGATAATGTTTTCCAAACAGTGGACCTGTTGGAGGATTCCCTTTTGTCTTTCATTAACCTACAAAAAGGTTACTGCTGATACAGCAGGCAGTCAGTGGGGATTAATTGGTGAGAAAACAACCACCTGGATACGACAGTATGGAGGCTAAAGACACTTTAAATAGGCTAAAGAGACTCTCTGTTCGCTGGACTGTCAGCTTAATCCTACATCATAGAGCTAAAGAGGTCTGACCGTCACTTACCAGACAAGAACTGATCCTAGTATTTCCAGTCAGATGGCACCAAGACTTTGAATTTTTACATATGTAAGGGGGATGAAAAGTGTGGTGCAGTTAAGGTGGTTTTAAAAGACAGATTTTTGGGGGGAGTTTTTCCTTATCCGCTGTGAGAGTCCAAAGGACAGGGGGATGTCGTATGCTGTAAAGCCCTCTGCGGCAAATTGTGATTTGTGATATTGGGCTTTATAAATAAAATTTACTTGAAAATTGAATTGATTGATATTTTTGAAAGGTGTCTGGCTGCTTTTGTTGTATTAGGTAACTCCTCTGTCATATATTTAAATAGATCTGAGTTTTGTCAGTCAAGGGCAAATTCATTTATCATGTCAAGGTGATGACCAACCCATAGAAACTACAAAAGAACCCAGCAGGCTCGTTCAGTCTGTCAGGAAACATTTTCAACGTATGCAGATATGCAGTTTGCACCATCCATAAAAAAACAATAGAATAAACAGTCAAAAACATGTGGATTTAAAAACAATAAAACAACAAAACTGATTTAAAAGAAAATAGATTAAAAGTAATGGTGAACACATGGGTCATGAGCGTGGATTTAAAAGTAGCACTGTCTCAAGTTTTAGCATTTCTGCCAATTTGTTCCATATTTGTGTAGCAGAGAATAAGAGACAGTCTGTAGAAATGTTTAGTAAGCATCTGGATGCTGATTATACATCAGATACATGTAACTGTAACATGTACACACACATGTAGCATGTAACACACACACACACCAACAAAAACAAGCTGTACGTGAAAGTGATTACACTGTTTGAGATTTAGATTTTGAGAAAAACCCTGTTCTCTCATCGAAAACAACAGATAAGAAAAGATAAAGGAAATTTTCTGCATCCAAGACACTTGATATACACAGTGACATAAATACTTTTACTTTTGACTTTTATTTTTGCTTCAGTTTTTTTCACCAGTTTAAGTTAAACAGCTAAGGCTTTTTATACACTCAATAGATACTATGACTACTTTTCTTTTCCAAGATAATCCATCCACCTGAGAGGTGTGCCATATCAAGGTGCTGATTAAAGAGTTTCATTACTTCACAGACTTGCTTTGGGATGGTCACAATAAAAGGCCACTCTAAATGTGAAGTTTGAGCTTAAAAAAAGATATTTATTGAGATTTCACAGGACTGGCTCTACAGAGGTGCATTTTTTGGTCCCAGATGCCCCAAAGAATCAGTCAGTATCTGGTATGATACCATTTGCCTCATGCAGTGGGACACACCTCCTTTACCCAGAATTGATCAGGTTGTTGGTTTCTGACCCACTCCTCTTCAGTGGCTGTGAAAAGTTCTTGGATATTGGCAGGAATTAGAAAGTGCTGTCATGCACGCCAACTCGCCAACATGCCGAGCATCCAAAACAAGCTCAATGGGTGACATTTCTGGTGAATATGCAGGCCAAGCAAGAACTGGGACGTTGTTTTAGCTTCAAGGAGTTGTGTACAGATCCCTGCAACATGGTGCCATGTATGAGGTCATGGTGGGTCTCAGGATCTCATCACGGTATCTCAAACTGCCATCAATGTAATCACTTGTGTTTGTTGTCTGTAGCTTATGCCAGCCCATAGCATTAGTCGACCGCCACCATGGGCCACTCTGTTCACAATGTTGACATTCGTAATCCGCTTGCCTGCACAACACCATACACACTGTCTGCCATCGGCACAGTGTGAACTGGGATTAATCTGTGGAGAGAAAACTTCTAACATGCCAGACGCCATCTAAGTTGAGCAGCTGCTCAGTCAAATCGGTTACAACGACAAACTGCTGTCAGGTTAAGACCCTGGTGAGGACACGAGCATGCAGATGAGTTTCACTGAGACAGTTTCTGACAGTCTGTGCAGAAATTCTTTGGTTGTGCCAACCGTTGCATCAGCTGCTCAGGTGGCTAAGTCTCAGACGATCTTGCAGGTGAAGATGCTGGATGTGGAGGTCCTGGGCTGGTGTGGTTACACGTGGTCTGCAGTTGTGAGGTTGGTTGGATGTACTGCCAAATTCATGGAGACGACATTGGCGGTGGTGAAATGAACCTTCAGTTCACAGGCAACAGCTCTGGTGGTCTGCAGTCAGCCTGCCAATAACACACTCCCTCAGCACTTGCGACATCTGTGGCATTGTGCTGTGTGATCATTTCAGAGTGGCCTTTTATTGTGACCTCCCAAGACACATCTGTGAAGTAATGATATGGATAGCATGGATGGATCATCTTGAAAAAGAACAAGTGCTCATAATATCTAATGAGTGCATAAAAAGTCTTAGATCTTTAACTTAAACCTGAAATGTGGGACTGAAAAAAGTGTTGTTTAAATGTTTGCTCAGAGGATTTATTTCACTGTGTAAATCAAGTGTCGTGGACGTAGACATTTCCCTCTTCCCTTTTCTTATCTTTTCTTGTGTTTGATGAGAGATCAGAGGGTTTTTCTCAAAATTCAACACAGATTCTTGGACTTAAGTTTCTCTGTCCTGTAGGCATGTAAAACTACAACTAAAATGATTCAATTTTGACACGAAATGTCTCTCAGGTCAGGAGGAGAGTGGGGCGGGTGAGTCCTGCGACAACTTCACAGACCTTGACCTGTCCCATTGCTTCATGGGAACCAGCCTGTACGTCCGGCTGCTGCTCTACACCCGCTCCAACCTTGACTGCGGACACGAGCTCAACCACCACCACCTGTCCACCCAGCCACTCTTCAACCTGTCACGCCCCACCGCCTTTGTCATCCACGGCTACAGGCCCACTGGAGCGCCCCCCATCTGGATAGACCACCTCGTCCACCTGCTGGCCAAGCAGGAGGACATGAATGTCATCGTGGTGGACTGGAACAGGGGGGCAGCCAACCTCAACTACTTCACAGCAGTGAGCTACACCAGGGAGGCGGCTTACAACCTGACCGGCTTCATCATGACCATGCAGGTGAGACACTTCAGTAACTAAGTATGACAAAAACTATCAACAACTCTGCAGCGCTACGGAGCTTTTTCAGCCTCTTCTAGATGCTGATTTTGATTTTTTTTTTTTTTTTTTTTTACCACATTTACTGTTTGTTTCAGTCTCAGGATTTCCAGCAGCGGTATGGGAGCTGGAAGCTGCCAAAATCAAAAATATTTGAATCACTCTAAAAATAAAAAATGCAATCAAATGGTTTTTGGTACATTCAGTGACATATTAATTTATTTATCAAGTCATTTCTTTCTTTTTTTTTTATTTTGGCAGCTTCTGTCCTCCGAAGTTTTCAGCCAAAAAAACTACCTGCTGAGCACCAGACAGACACAGGCTACGTTTACATGCATTTTAATATTCCATTATTTTTCCCAATTTGACAATATTCTGAATTTGATTCTGGTCGTGTAAACTGCAAATTCCGTTTACATGTTTAAAATTTACCATTTTCCGATGAAGATGTGGGATATGCTGATACTATTCAGGTTTAGAAGCATTCTTTATACACGTACACAGCTCATTCAGAATGCGTCTCAACTGAGGTTTTTACCCACAGTTTACACACAGTGTCCTGCCAGTTTACGGTCAGTCATGGATACATTGTCCGCAAACCACTGTGAAAGAGATGTTTTTTTCCTTCAACGACACATACACATGGTTGGGTTTAGGATAAAAGAACAGCGTTTGGCTTTACTTTTATACAGGAAGTGAACACCGGCCTCCTGGGTTAAAGTCAGTGGTTGTTGGACCCATTCACAGCTTTAAAGACAGACATCACACAAACTTTTACCTAAAACAAACGGAACACTTATCTTTTTTCATGTTGACATTGTATTCTTGACATCTTGACTGAGCGTTTGAAGGGTTTTTTAGGGGAAGCAGACAAAAAGCCAACATTTGCCAAAGTTCAGGTCAGAATTTTTTTTAACAGTTTCAAGTGGCCCAGGTCTTTACACATCTCATCTAATGATAAATTTAGAACAGCTCAAACAAAAGCCACTGTCTATAAATATGTCAATTTCATGAGTCTAAGCTTTCCCAGTGTTCCCCTCTTTCCAGATAATCTTAGAAATTTTGATTTTTCTAAATGTTTTTGTTTAGTTGTTAAATCATATTGTGTGTGAATCATATTTCCCAACACAAAGTTCTTAAAGCTGATTCAAAACCTTCTCTAAGCTGCCACCAGGAGTAAAACTACTTTTTGTTGGCTAAAGAGTAATTAAATTTAAGTATAAGTCTTAAAAATGCTAGACCCATCCCCAGCAAGTTTCTACAATATCACAGAGCATCTTTAATCTGCTACTGTCCTCCAGTGGTCACCACAGATTTTATATCCATGCATGAACAGTAAGATGAAAGCTAAAGACACATAAAGAGAGAGATAACTTGATCTGTAACCTCAATGTGACGGTGGGTTTTTTGATTACTGTGCGTCTGCAGGAGGAAGGAGCCTCTCTGAGCTCAGTCCATCTCATCGGTGTCAGTCTGGGAGCTCACCTGGCTGGATTTGTAGGAGCAAACCTGAAGGGGAAGATTGGACGAATCACAGGTAATAAATAAAATAATATACGGGAAAATTAAAAGAATAAAAGCAAAGAGGAGAGTCAAGTGTACTGAGTTTGAGGGGGGAGAATTTTAGGTTTAAAATGTTTAACAACATCAAAATCTTTAAGTTTTTCATTATTTGCAGAGTGACAGCAAATGCAGAAAACTATGCAAACCACAGTTAGAAGACTGTTATTAAAACAGCAGAGCTGCACAATGTTCCACCTTATATAGCAATCACAAACAAATCTGGTAAAGGTAGTCAGGTTGCATGTTGTGGTGCTACTCACAGTCTGCCAAATGAGGTTTACATTTTTGTAAACAACACTCAAACATACAGACACATCTTGTAAAAACAAACTTGAATCAAAATAGCTGGGTTCGATGACAGAATCTGAGGTTTAAAAAAAACCTGAGTTGACCCTCAGAACATCTTGTCCACCAGGTCTGGACCCAGCAGGACCGATGTTCACTAGCGCCACACCAGAGGAGAGGCTGGACCCATCAGACGCCATGTTTGTGGATGTACTTCACACAGACATGAACTGTGAGTATCTGTTGTACATTTACTGATAATAATTAAACATGACAGACAACAGACTGTTGACTCTAAACACATTAGAGTCAACATGTTACTGTGCCTTTAACGCAGAGACATAGAGCAAGCTTATTAAAAACAGATTGTTTCTGTTGTCTTCCATGTGACACACAAGTTTTTTTAACTCTTGAATTTAAACATATCATTAATGATGTAGACATGTGTATAATCTTATGTTTGATATTTTCTTTTGGTATTATATGTGTTGCCAGAAGATGTTTGTTATCACGAGGGTTGGGCCAAACATTTGGCATGACAGGGTAATAAAATTGGAAAAATTGTATAACTTCCTCAAGTCATAAACCAAAATATCATCCTTTTATGAAATATCATACATTATCCGGTGAGGATTGCCAGCTCTCATATGATGGATTTTTTTCTGTGTGCAAAGTGACAAAAATATCTGCATCAACATACAGTGGCACAGTAAGGTCTTTTATTAAATAATAGCCTAATTTCTTCCAAATGCAAAATTTTTTGTTTATGTTTTGAAACTAAATAGCTCAAATTTGGGATTTGTTTAGGGGCACTACAACAAAATAAGTTTAGCATTAAAGACATTGTCAGCCCTGCCCATTAACAGCTGACGTCCCTCAGAAAGGATTTCATCAGCTGGTGATTCAGTGGAAAGTTTTAATGTTGTTTTAATTAATAAAATAAAACAGCTCCTGTTGATTTGGTGAAGTCATATTTGAACTAATTCTGACTTTCTGATCTTAAACCTCAGAAGCAAAAAACATGGTAAAACAGTTTTCTGCTTCAGTTTTTTCTTTTTTACATAAAAAAAATGTATCTGTTATAATTTTGTAATTCTACTGTTGTGTGTTGTTTGTGCCCCCCGAACCCCACAATATAAGCAATATACAGTACAGGCCAAAAGTTTGGACACACCTTCTCATTCAATGCATTTTCTTTATTTTCATGACTATTTACATTGTAGATTCTCACTGAAGGCATCAAAACTATGAATGAACACATGTGGAGTTATGTACTTAACAAAAAAAGGTGAAATAACTGAAAACATGTTTTATATTCTAGTTTCTTCAAAATAGCCACCCTTTGCTCTGATTACTGCTTTGCACACTCTTGGCATTCTCTCCATGAGCTTCAAGAGGTAGTCACCTGAAATGGTTT